ACTGCTACATTGAGAAATATCACAATTGTTCAATGAAACAAAAAAACTTTATAGACCAAAAATTATAAACATGATGATGACACATATCCCAAACACGAATACCAAAGATAAAAATAAAAAATGAATGACTCAAGTGAAAAGAATATAATTCAAATGTTAGTGACAACAACATCATATACTTTAAATTCATCCACGTAGATTTCTCATAGCTTATAGCCAATACCAATCACCTTATAAGACCATGGATATTGTATAGGACAACGAGAATCAGAAAATATAACCCAATAACAGAATTTACATAGACAACTAATTGAAGCAAGGTTAAAAGCAAGTTTAGAAATATCATAGACATTGGTGAGAGATGTATGAGGGGTAACAATATAACAAACACCCTCTAAATACATAGATGTAACACTAATATAATAACATAAATTAGGTAAACTATGAGACAAAGAAGCAAAAGATGAAAAATAAGGTGACATCTTATGAGATTCACTAGAAACCAATATTCATAAAGATGAAGGGGTAACTGAAGTATTAGGCGAAGACATACCCGCAATGAGGAAAATATGTTGACATAATCGTATGATTAGAAGTAAGGAACTGTCTGAACTGCTCAAAAACTTGTGAATCCAAAGCAAATGATGACATATAAGGATTAATCTCTATAAACTGAGCAAGAACAATAGAAATGATGGTGGAAAGAAGCTTATAGGGTAATAGTGGGCATTATGATTTCCAATGGTTCTTATGTTTACAAAACTTACATTCATTAAGCAACTTTAGGAGTTGGACGATGTTGTTTTGTAGCCTGAGGTTGTGGTGGAATAGCAAAAACAATAAGAGTTATAGATTATTTAGACCCTTTATTAACTTGAGACTTTAGACAAGTCTACTCAACAATCAACTCATGAACAACCTATTTAATAATGGGAAACGAAGTAGGTGAAGGATTAATACATGTAATCATATTATAATGTCATCAAGAGTTGATCCAAACGTTGCTCTTTTTTCCTAGCAATATAGGATCTCAATGCCTTCAGCTTATTAGATTTTGTAAGAAACAACTAATCTCACACATCACATAGTTGTATAAAAATCCTAGACATTCATAGTATTTTATTTGAGTGATCGAGTATATGTCTTCATCTGGTACTACTTAGAAAAATATATTAGGCATATAATATGTCCAAGTGATCCCAAACTAGTTTAGTTGTATCATACTTTACCAAGTGGGTGTCAATGGATTAGATCTCAGAACTGTTAATCCAAGTGATATTTTTGAATTATTTGTCTTTCATGTATCGAGTAAAGTTACACAATAAATTACTTCTCATCATTAAGTTTATCTAATGTGCCAGGAACATATCCCCGTATGTGTTTCACATATAGAAAAATTTTCATTATATAACTCCAATAGGCGTATTTTTTGACATCCAATTAAGTATTGAGGGAATATAAAGAATCGTCCTTAGGGCCTCCACAATCTATTGAATTCTATAAAGTTTAATGGATTATCATATCATTCATTAAATACCTATACAACAACACATACAACCCATTAAATACATATTCAATCCTAATCACCACTTTATTTATTTTTTTGAATCACTCAATGATCATTCAATCTTACTCAATGTCATCACTCTCACTCCATTCAACTCATATTCAATCATAATCATCACCCTATTCAACTCTTATACTACTTGCATTAAAGATGTTTTTACAAATCATGTTGATAGTAACCAAAAGAAACACATCTCAGTAGCAAATACGAACAAATACCAACAATACTCAAAGCAACCAAATAACAACAACAAAATGAACAAGAAACGAGCGTAGAAACAATGGAAAATTACCAAAACATTGATCCGCAAAACTAAATGCCACTACACGCTCTTCCACAATCATTAAATCAAAAGGCATGGATTAAATAAGATTCTAATACAATATAAACCAATAAGAATCTATAAAAATAATAATAATAATAATAATAAGATTTTATTATTGACTAAAAACTGAACTAAAATATATCTAAAATTAAATTTAAAAAATAAAACAATCTAAATTACCTAACTAAATGGTTAATTAAAGCCCGACACAAAAACAACCAAAACATTTAGCTCCGACAACAACTATTAGTCTATCACCACTAGGCAGCGTTATTCCACAACAGAAAAACTTAACTACTGGTTACTCGTTTAATGAAAACTTCGTTAGCTGGCAAATAAACCACAGCTTGGTTAAAAGCATACGTACAGTATATTTTACAAATGAAAATCAATGTTCAATAAAAAGGAGACATTTATTTTTTCTTGTTATATCTCCTATAGCCAAATAATAATAATAATAATAATAATAATAATAATAATAATAATAATAAGCTCCTTGTAATGAATAGATATAAGGAACAATACAAAGTTTCTTGTAAACGTACGGCACATAAAACTAAAGCTGAAAATATTAAAAATTTAAACATCTTATTCGTTATATAAAAAATATAGGGAAAAAAAAATCAATAGTAATGACAACTATCGAGACGAATCTATTGACGAAAGCTACACAATGAAGTAATATCTAGTGAAAGGGATTTAGGAATTAAATAAATAAACAATCGTTGACCATAATATCGTTCTTAAAGCATAATTGAATCGCGTCCACGAACATAATTCCCCTTAAAAAAGACAATCATAACTAGTAAGCTTCCGTATCAAAGAATATATAATAATTGATAAATATAACACTCCCTTACTCGTCTTATAATAATAGATTATGTTTTCTTTTTTTCTTTTTTTTTTTTTAAATTTTTATTTTTTAAAATAAATCTTCTTTTTATCAAAATACTCATTATTATTATTAGTTAAACTATTATGGTATTCAATTCTACTACCATGAAATTAAATGCAACAAAATAGTAAAATTGTCATTTCATTTAATAAATATAATAGTAATTAATGTTTTCTTAATTTGTGTATTTTTTTCATCTCCGAACAATAATTTTAGGATGGAAGGAGTATGTAACCGGTGATCCCAACAGGTATCAGGCTGACATGATAGACATAGTCAGACTGAAAGCCTGAAACATCGGCTCTAGGCATGGCACTAACAGAGGTTCTATATGGTGTTCCATAATGACACTGATAATGTCTGACTTTCGTTTATGCAGAGCAAAAAAATTTAAAATTTTTTCTATTTAGTATTATTTTTTTTCTCGTATCACACCTAATATGAAACCCTAGACCAGGTCAGGAGAGCATTACGAATTTGATAAATTTAACTGTTCAATGGATTAAAAATATTTTTAATTTTATACCTAATTCTTATAATTTCTACACTAACATATCAAACCCACTCTTTTTTTTTTTTTCTCTATTTCATGAAACCATATAAGCCCTAAAAAATATTCGATCGCCTTTATTTTCATAGTCTCATGTGAATATTCCATGACTTTGTTTAACGTCGATGTTCATCTAAAAGATAGAGGACATTAGAAAATTGACGTGGCATACGCGTCAGCAACAAAGTCCTGAATAGAGCATATTATTATGCAGAAGTAGCAGGACACGTGTCAGGGACCCACAGACCACATGCACGTTAATGGCGGGAAAAAAGGTAAAGGGTAGGTGGGATGAGTGACACGTAAGCGTATTTGGCGGGAAATAGAAGCAATGTGGTTTCAATGGATATAGCCGCCCACTCATCAGTCATCACTACTTGCGTCGTCTACTTGTACTCTTTAACCATCATATAGACATATACATAGTACACAAAAATAAAAAATAAAAAATAAATATATGAATGATGAAAATAAATAAAACCAATATTATTTGTTTAGCTAAATATAAATATAAATGTTTCTTCGTGTTTTTTGCATATTAGTTAAAAAATAGTCATTTCTACACCGAATTGACAAATGAAGAGACAAAAAGGACAGTTACTTTTTTTGCTTTATGTTTTCTCTTTTTAAGTTCTAAATTCGAAACGTGATAAATTTCTATTTGTCTCTCCATTTTAAATTCAACTAATATAACATAAATTTCTACAATGTCGAATTTTTCTAAACCGGCTAATCATAATAGCTTTTATTTTTCTTTGACATGATTGACTGGTATGCCATGGATTTTTCTTAAAGATGGCTTTTTATTATTTTAGAACATATTTTTATAAGTTATTTTTTAGTATAATTTTATGCTTGGTACAACTTATGTTTATTTGGTTGGTTTTTTTCATTTTCGTTCTAATCAATTTTGATTGATTCTATTATAATTTATTATTTTGGTTTACCGAGTAAACCAAATAAAACTTGCATCAAAAAGTATTTAAGTGAAGGAGAAATTTGATATATTATTACCAAATGAGAAAAGATATTGATATATTGTTAATTCGTGTTTTGTTGTGATATGTTGAATAGGTAGTTATCTCAATATCGAAAAGTCTGTAAATAACAAGTGTTCACGAGTCCTCGTTATGTAATGTATTTACTAGGCACTTTGTCGATTCAAAATGTAATGTCGAGCCCTAGTACTTTTTATTTATGTGAGTTCCCTATAAATAAGGTAGGTACTTTAGAGGTCGTAACATCGTTTGCACACTTGTATGTAGTAAGCATTGATCCTCATTATGATCCCTCTTGTACTTTTCTCCATGATATATTAAGTTGAAACCAAATCTTATTTAAATCTCCGTGTTCTTTACTCTGATTTACTATCGATTGATTAAAATATGAATCAAAACAACTATTCAATTGGTATTAGAGCATAAATCATCATATTCATTGAAGAATTTCTTCCGTGTTTTCACTTTATCGATTCGATTGTTCCGATTCAATATATCCGCAAAGTAAATGCATAATTATTTGATTATTATCTATGATTGGTCGATTTTGTGTTTGTTTTGTCAATAGATTTGTTCCTAATTTCAAAATTTTCAACTTTATCCTCTTTTTAAACCTTGAATCAACTCAAATTTGTGATTCAATAGCTAATCTGAATGTCAACACCATGATAAATTTCACACACTTGTATGGATCTGCTACAAAAGTTCCAATGTTGATTCCTAAGTACTACGATCAATCGGCAGATTGTATGGAAGACTATCTCAACGGGGTTGATAAAGTTATTTGGCGATGCATCGAAACTGGACCTTTTCGTGTTGGCCTTGTTCAAGCTGTTCGAAATGTTGGTACTGCAGAAGACATAATCACTCAAACCAACAATAAGAAGGAGAATGACAAAAGATGTCTATGTGAACTGCGAGGAGCACTTCCATCAGTGGTTTACAACTATGTTCAAGGTTGTAAGACATTAAATGATATTTAGGATACTTTGAAAGACAAACAACAAGGGAATGAAAGAACCAAAAACAGTTATGTGATGCAATGTTTGTCATAATTGGTTGGTTTTAAGCAAAAAAGAATGTGAGGGTGTGTTTGATGGATGTCTGACTGGGTCGAGTCAGCGAAATGGGTTGACTCGGTCAGACCCTAAGTGTTTGATTTGTGCTTTCACGGTAAGATTGGCTGGCCCAAGTTGCTTTCTCGCTCAGTTTCTTAACAATCTTTGACTGGAAATTAGACAATCCTACCCCTCCCTCTTTATTCTTTCTTCCATCGTTCGTTCCCTTCCTAGTGACCTAAAAGCACGGCCGCTATAGGTATAACTCCACATCGAACGCCAAACAAAGGTCGTCAATCAGACTCTGCCATCTCGTCGGTCGGACCTCCCCCAGAGTTCTCTTCCATCGGTGACGCCATCTCCCCGGACAGAAATTCATCAAACAGGTAAGATATTCTTCTACTTTTTTGTTAATAATTTTTAAAATTGGATACCATTTATGCTTTAATGTTATGAATTTTGAAGTTCTTTAATGAAATCAAAATACTTTTTTTGTTAGTATATTATGAATTCTGAAACTGTATGTGAATTTAAAGTTTTTTTTTTTTTTTTTTGTAGTACTTTGTGTATAAGAACTAAAATTTGAAGTTCTTTGTTTTAATATGATGAATTCTGAAATTGTATGTGAATTGGAAGCTTTTTTTGTTTTTTTATTTTTTTTTATTATTTTTTTTGTAGTTCTTTGTGTATAAGAACTGAATTTTGAAGTTCTTTGTTCTAATGTTATGAATTTTGAAATTGAATGTGAATTGGAAGTTGTTTTTTTTTCGTTCTTTTTTGTAGTTCTTTTTTGTGTATCCATTTGCACCCAACTGTCTTACGACCTGGTACATTGCCAACCAAGTTCCAAACATGATTTTCAAACATGGACTGTATCTCGCTATCCATAGCCTTTTTCCATTTAGATGCCTCAGGGCCTGCCATGGCTTCCGTGTTGTTGTTAGGTTCATCCAGACCTATCAGTGTGTTATCATTGATAAGTGTATCACCTTCCATAGCAATATGGAAACCATAGTAATGCTCAGGTGCATTCCTAACTCTCGTGAAATGCCTCAGAGGTACAGACTCGTCAGTCGGATTAATAAGAGTTTTCTCCTCAGGTTGCTTGCTAGTGTTTGAGGTTCATTCACCACTTGACTCTTGAATTTCTTCAAGATCAATTTGCCTCCCACTGTTTCCTTGGCTTATGAACTCTCTCTCGCGAAAGACTCCCCTCCTTGCTATAAAGACCACATTATCACTGGTTGTGTAAAAGATGTAACCAAAGGAATTATGTGGGTAGTCGATGAAAATACATCTCTTACTTTGAGGTTCGATTTTATCGTGAGTCTCGCGCCTCACGAAAGCCTCGCAACCCCAGATCTTGATGTGTTCCAGATTGGGAACTTTTCTAGTCCACATCTCGTGAGGTGTTGAGGCAACCTTCTTTGTAGGGACTAGATTAAGGATACGGGCTGCAGTCTTTAAGGCATACCCCCAAAATAAGATTGGTAGCGAAGCTTGACTCATTATGGAACGAACTATGCCCAACAAGGTTCGATTACGCCTCTCAGCTGCACCATTAAGTTGTAGTGTTCTGGGAGGTGTCAATTGTGAGACAATCCCACACTCCTTAAGATAGTCAAGGAAATCTATACTAAGATACTCACCACCTCGATCGGATCGAAGCATCTTAATGTTCCTGCCCAATTGATTCTCCACTTCCTGCTAAAACTTTTTGAACTTTTCAAAAGTTTATGACTTATGGTTGATTAAGTAGACATATCCATATCTACTAATATCATCAGTAAAATTCACATAGAAGCAGTTAACATCCCTTGTGGCGGTTCTGAAGGGTCCACACACATCGTGTGTACCAGATCCAACAAACCTTCACCCCTAGCATAAGAACTAGTGAAGAGTTATTTTTTCATTTTTCCATGTAGACAAGATTCACAATTATCATCCGACTTTAGGTCAAATAACTCAAAGACTCCATCCTTTTAGAGTTGGCCTATGTGTTTCTTACTTACATGTCCAAGACGACAATGCCACAATGATGCTTTATCCAAGTTAGTGGAAGAATCAATACACAACACATAATTCCTATGTTATCTACAACCGAGACAGCTTCATACACACCATCACAAGGTAATGCTTTAAAATAAAGAACATTATTAAAGAAAGCATTAATATCACCACATTCATTATCAAAAGAAAAGGTAAACCCTTATTTGTACAAAGCATGAAAGGAAATAATATTTCTTGCCATTTCAGACGAGTAACAACATTTATTCAAATCTGATGTTAACCCACTACTTAGCAACAAAGTATAAACTCAAATCTTGGTGACAGGTGATGCTTTCCTATTCCCCATGATTAAGTTTATCTTCCCATGCTCCACATCCTCACTTCTATTTAGTCCCTGCAAATCAGAACAAATATGAATACCAGAACCGGTATCAAGGACCCAAGAATTAGAATGGGATGAGTTATTAGACAATATAGTGTAAATACCTGCATGGTTGGGTTTCACTTTCCCATCGTTAACATCTTGCAGATACTTTGGGCAGTTTTGCTTTCAGTGCGACTTTTCATGGCAATAGAAGCATTCAGCCTCTTTAGGGTTGGCAGAAGGAGTGACAGAACCTTTCTTAGTTCCTCTTGAAGAGGGTTCATTAAGGGACTTTCCCTTGGTACCCTTCGAAGGGCTCTTCCTCTTCTTCCCTTTACCTTGCCCGATTGCCAAGACTGGGGTTGCGGTAGGAGTAGGAGTGGTGACAACCGATTTACCATTTAGACCACTTTCGGCGGTCTTCAAGAGTCCATGAAGTTTGCTGAGTGTAACTTCCTCCTTGTTCATGTGGTATGTCATTCGAAATGGATCAAAACAAGAAGGTAAGGAGTGAAAAATGATATCATTTTCCAACTCCTCGGGGAAGTTCACATTTAGCTTCAGCAAACGGTCCACATTCCTTTTTATTTTCTGCAAGTGGTCAGTGATGGGTTCACCATCCTTTATTCGGGTTGTTATCGTGGACCAGATGATGTCATACCTCTCTTGGCGAGCACTTTGATGGTAGCGATCCATCAAGTCCTGGTGCATGTCAAAAGGGTAATAGTCCTCATAAGAATTTTCGAGCTCGGCTGTCATCGTGGCCAACATGATACAAGCCACTTTATTGGCATCTCTCTCATGAGTTCGGAAATCAGCGATCTCCTCAGGAGTAGTAGACGAATCATCAAGTTCCTTAAGCTCCTTGTCGAAGAAATATTCCTTGTCTCTTAACGAGTGGCCATACTGATGTTCCGAATCCAATCCATAAAGTTAGAACCATCGAAAATGGCTCTCCCACAAAAGTTCATGAGAGAGAAGGAGCCGATAGGTTTTGAGCCAGAAGCAGCATTTTTGGAAGACATCTGAAAAAGAAGAAAGACAAGTTTAGATTAGATATAAAGATAGTCTGTAATAAAACACCCAAATGTAATATTAAGGCTAGGACCTAACATAAATTTTTATAACTTAGAAGAGGGATGTCGTAATCCAAGCTATAAAATATTTGAAGGTAAATGAATGATGATTCACTAATTTCCAACAAAAAAAACGAAATAAATTATTAGGTTTTAATTGGTTTTGAAACTCCTAGATTCTTTGAGATTCATTGAACTTTTCAATGACATGTTTCAATCTCGAGTGTGCCCTTCAAGTTTTGTGATTGGGATGCTGAGGATCATTAAACAAGGTGTGAAGTAACCATGCAAATTACTTGGTACTCTTAATGTTTATCACCCAATTGATGTGCCGGTTAACCACATGCGCTCCACCGACCTATGATAAACTTTTATCCACCCTTTTCCTACCTTGTTAAGTCCAGGTTAGTGTGTTGGTTAACCACACACGCTCCACTAACGACTTAAGCAAAGTGCAAAGTGTAATTTCATGGGTTATCACCTTCTTCACATTTTCCTAAAGTAACTAAGATTGGGAATTTATAAAAACATTTAGTTACTTTACATTCATCATACTTTTAATGAGGATTTAAAGTCATTGTCCTACCCGTTCGGCTAACGACCGTCCACCAGTCAAGGAAGCGGTGGGTGATAGTGGAGACCCATTAAGCTTCCATTTTATAGGCAACAACCTTATACCCCCCTTATAGACCGGTTTCGTGAATGAGGCCTACTAACGGTAAAACAATTTGTTCTTATACATACATACATACATACATACATACATACATACATACATATATATATATATATATATATATATATATATATATATATATATATATATATTAACTTATAATATTATAAAGTATAAGGGTTGAATTTTAACTTTTAAAATTCTAGGGGTTGGAACTAAAGTTTTTAAAAAGACTTTACATGTTCCAAAACTTGAGGGCAAGTTTTGTAACTTTCAAAACTTTTCATATTTCATAACTTATGAGTTAATGGTTTAATAAAATGAGAGACTTTTCATTTTATGTAACCTATGTGTTTTTTTAATGGATTTTTAGAAGAGTGACTTTTGGTAATCCAAAACTTGAGGAAAAATTATGGATCCATTAAAACACATCAAGATCAAGAATTAAACTAACAAACAAGTTACAAATAATTCCTATGATCTTCTAAACTCATAAGTTCATGAATGTTCATATCAACAATTTCAAGAATCACAAATAAACCATACAAAGCTTGAAATTTTGATATTAGCCATTGAAATGGATTAGCATAACAATTACACCATCTAAAACAAGTTTTATAACACCAAAAAAGTTTAGGGTAATGTTTCTAGTCCATTTCCAACAGAAAAACTCAAAAAACTGCACTCTGACAAGCCAACTCGTCGAGTGCATGAACTGACTCGGTGAGTTGGTTGAATATAGTCTTGGACTCGTCGAGTCCACTCAATATATTGTATATTTTTGAGTTTTTCCAACAAG